AACTAATCCNTTTCATTTTTGCCTGCATGATCAGCATTAACACAAGTTTGTGAAGATGCATATGCAACCTTGTGCGATGTTACCGGCTGTATGGTTGTATGTGTGTGTGTGTGTGTGTGTGTGTGTGTGTGTGTGTGTGTGTGTGTGTGTGTGTGTGTGTGTGTGTGTGTGTTGCATAGTAGCTTGTGCACTCAGTGAATTGGAGGACAGCAGTTACAGCGTTGACTCTTGGGGAACTAATCCCTGGAAGAGGCTTGTAGGCACCTGGTAAAAACATGTTCCTGGAGACCTTCTCCCGTGTTTGTCTTGTCGTCACGTCGTCCGCAGTGGACTCCCCACTCTGCCTCTCGCAGCCGCCGATGATCAGGTTGCGTCTTGGATTTCCATCTGAACCACCCTCTAATCTCATGACAGTTGAGCGTGAACGGAACCACTTCTCAGCCCTGTAAGGTCACCCCTCGCAGGAATTAGCACAACACATGTTTATGTGTCCCTATTACTTCAATGTGTCTGAGGTTTTGGATACACTGAGTGACGAATGATACACCCTGAATCAAATATTGAGGTGGCACTATGTAAATATAAAAAAAGAATAGAAAGAAATTTGCTTAGTTTTCACAAATCATGAAAATTGCTGTCATCCTGCTTGAATGTCTAATAAAATGAAGCATGAAACATTGCTAGAAAAACACATGCATGGATTTAAAAGGTATATAATCATTATTTGCCAAAAAATCACAGAATATTAGAACACTTCAAGTCATCATTTTAAAATCACAACTAAATATTACAAACTACAATTGGCACTGTTATGCACCGACACGGTACAGCTTCATATAAGTCTCAAGGACCGGAACGAAGTTAAACAGAGGTAAAATGTCAAATATAGCCTACTGTAATTCAGAAAAAGACACCTTGGGCATCCTGGTAGCAGAAGGTCATGATATTGAAAGACATTATATTGAACATGTCTCGCATATTGAGTATTGCCAGGGGATTTAGTCACACTTTATTTCCTCTCTACTCACTATCAAATAAAGGCAAACATACCTGAAAAAACACCTAAAAGTAATATCCTGAGTTTCTCATGTAATCATCAAGGGATTAATACTTTAACAATTAACATCAACATGGAACGAGAAGCTCGCCATGTAGTTGGAAAAACAGTCCACATCACCCACAAGAACTTAGCATGTGTAAAAGCTAAATAGATGTTGTTGCTATGTTTTATGAAGTACGTGTAAACATCTCTTTTTCTTAGGTTGTGTGTAGCTTGTAAACACAGGCTGGGTGTGGGGGGTAATAACGGGGGTTGGTATTGCCTTGTAAAAGACCAAAAATTCAGTGTATTTCTCTGGAGGAAAACAACGACAATTTGTCTCCCTGCATCCCCTTGTAAAAGCTGAACAAGTCATGCAGTGCTTGTAAATACCTCAGCAGCACAGGCAGGATAATGGGGATGATGAACAGTCCCACTTGATGGGTGTCTAGCGGCTCTTAGTGGTGAACTTCTGCAGAGACTTCACTGAGGTTGCATTACACCGTCCCCTCACATGAGCAAAAAGGCATTCATGGAATTTATGTCCGTGTAATATATCTGGCACATTACTGCAAATACTGATAATAATCCTACTGCTATTCAGTGACCAACAACCACTATACAGCTTGTTTACAGACACATGTAAACATTTAGGACCTGCCAAAATGGCTGAGTGATGTAATGGAAACTATGCATGCACTGCTGACTCATCGAAATAGAGCGCAAATTAGAAAGCAGCAGTACAATGTCAGCGTGTGTTTGCATCTGGGCATGAACACAAGAACTGTGGTTTAATTTGACCCATGCAACAGAGGTCCCATCAGGTTTGGCTGTGGCTTCAAAATAACTCCTCTTTAGGAAGAAGAACACAGATTTGTGAAAAAGGCAAGTGTCTGTTATACCTGAGCTACTTCATTTGGTATTAAACCAGGCACTTTGGATTTTTTAAATAAATACAACTAAAGGACATTTGTGTTTTATAAATATGCTCAGTTGATCAAATTCTCACAAGATATTGCACATGCTGGACTCGTTGTTGTAGCCATTACAGTTATTTTCTTTGTCGTTCAGATGATCAAACACACCACTGTTGATCATTTCCTTCTGCCATTGGATGGAGACTGCTCCTGTGCTGAACTTCTTGTAGAATTCCTCATCCCTTTGCTCAAACTGAATGTCTTCGACGGAGGAGGATTCCATTAAAGGATTTGTGTCCTTGGCGTAGACCACGTTGGATTTTGGCACCCATGGCGGATCAACCAGACCGGCCTCCAGACGGCGGAGATTGATGCTCTTGAAAAACACATGGTTCCGTGGATCGTCATTGACATTGCTTAAAAGAAACAAAAGACATTTAATGATTAGAGTTGGGAAAGAAGGTTATAAAAGCAGTAGGAAGGCAAAGGTATTAACCTGGGCAATAAAAGTGTTTGGATATTTCATTTAAAGTGAACAAAACTGCATTATAGAACGATAACATACAGCTTAATATACTGTACATGTCTCTTTTAATTTATTTATACATTTCCATTCTTAACAGAGTTGCAGGACAGACAAATCCACTTAAAAACAAACTAGAAAAGAACAATAGAATACAGATTCTAAAAGAGAAGCATTTACTTGGTCGAATACGACATTCTCTGCACTATTAAGCCTATTGCTTTATTTATTTCTGACATGTACATAATTTGCATCATCTGCATTTCTTGCAACATAATCTGCACTATTTTATTCGAATCTATTCTAATATTTTTATTTTTAAATTAGTTTTATTGTTTTATGTCCTATATATATTTTATGTTGCATTGTTGGAGGAGCTCAGGACTTAAGATTTGAATTGCCATTTCTACACTGTTGCATCTGTGCATATGACAATATAGCCTTTGAGTCCTTACCACCCAAGTTACAACCCCACAGGTGTTTTTACTTAACTTGCTTGATTAGACCCTCACTCTAGTCTACTGTTAGTTTAATTTGTTTATTTGTTGCACCAGTTGGATTAGGACAACCTTATACAGGCAGCCCTCAGTCAGACTGGGTGGCCAAAGGGCAAAACAACATCCTGCTAGAAGGGGAAAACTACAAGATGAACTACGTAAGTATAACAAAATAATATCTTCTTAAATTAAAGGCAGTTCGATTTAACGTTGATGAATACACATAATTACTGAAGAACCTGTGGCACATGGAAATTGACATGTGCCACACATATGTGCCTGATTTCAACACTGGGGAAGTATACTTAGTAAAGCCTGAAGGCAAGTAATAGCTTCACGATTGGTGGAAATTCGGATTTGTTAGCAAATAAAAACATAATGAGGATTTTTTGGAAACTATGAGCTTGTTTTTATGTAGCGTACACTACTCTGTGTTTGTATTGCAAATTGCTTTATTTAACGAAACATTTTTTTTTTTATTTACACAGAAAATGTATAAAAGATGATTAATAGTATCATAACTTTTTCATGTTTTACTTAAACGTCCAACATTATAGAAGTGCATTGGCTGCTACCAATCACCTTTTGGTGCCTGGAAGCCAGTTGTTTTTATGAACCTCAACAATACAATAGTTTTCTCTTTTTTCAAGCTTTTTCAGTCTGTAAAAAATATCATTTGTACAGTCAGAAGAACAAAAGCATTTCCAAGCAAACTTAACACTTAAGCTTTCTGAACTGTACAACTTAATTTTTTGATGTCATTTTGAAAACAAAATTCTCCATAAATGTAGAGAAGGGGATATGGGGCTTGTTGTTGTCTGTGCTCTGGCTGCAGTGGTTTGAACTGAGGTACATTCATTTCCTTCTGTGTGTTTATTTTTTTCCCTTTTGAATTCATCCAGGGTTGTGACTTGGAGGTTATTACTAGCAATATGCTACTCTTATTGAAAGACTGTATTGAACCAACAGCGTATGTTTTTACTGCTGCCGAAGAAGTGACATTTTTTATTTCCTTGACTGATGATTTGTCCCATGGCGCCTTATCCAACCTAATATAATAATAAACTAGGGCTTTAGAAATGTGAAGCTTTCACTGACCGGCACCCAAGGCGATGCACCGACTTCTTCTTAAGAAAGCATCTGATGAGATCTTTGGAAGAATCATCAAAGTTTTTGTGTTCGAACTTGCAGTCATCCTCCAGAGTGCGACGAGTCACCTCATCATTCTGCACCTTTTCCCTGAAGTCTTTAAAAGGCAAACGGGCAGCCAGCATCTCATAGATGGTGCAGCCCAGAGACCACCAGTCCACAGATGTGCGATAGGCCTCCCTCTTTAGGATCTCAGGGGCCATGTAACCAGTCGTACCAGCCTGAGAACACAAACAGGGGGGAGAGAAAGTAGGATGAGGGAGATCTCATAAACATAAACCTTTGTTTTCGGGGCACTGGGGCCTACAGAACATATTTCTACTTGGACTTTTATGTCATCTTTGCATTTTTATTCAAACCTTAAATATTATTGGAAGATAAAACTGGTGATGAGGAGTCTCAGGCAAACTGAGGAACAACTGCTATGACCTGTAGCATTGTATGCACACTGAAAGAAAAATATTTAACAACAGGTTAAACAATTGCCGTGTGCAGATGAAAATTAGCTTTAAAGCTAACTGCAATCCAACACATCAGACGGTAACATTTACATCTGTTTTAGTGACTTTACAATATGTATCACTCTCCTACAAAGACATTTTTATTATTATTCTGTGTAGAGTTTTAGTTTGGAAACAAAACATAATAATACAATGTGAAACAACACTGTTGCATAAAAAAATGCTGCATAACAGCATCAATCAGATCAGTGGGCATTATTGTTCACTCTGTATCTCGTCTGCTGTGAGTGGAGCCTGCTGAGAATCTCCTGACTCATCTCCTTAGACAGACACGTGGAAGCCATATCTGGTACTAGTAGAGCACAGATTAACCGGCTAATGCTAACAGGCTCTGCTCAGTCCTCCATACATTGCTGTGATCAGCCAGTGTAGCGTCCAACAGGGGAGAAGGTCAGGCCCCTTTTAATCAGATTAGGTTGAGTCCAACAGGGTCATGCTGTCTTATGTTGTCTGTCAGACGTCAGAGCAGGAATAGGAATAATCACTTCTATTTCCGGTAAACTGCTTGTATTGGTGGGGGAACAATTATGCAGTGAAGTAGTATAACATATAGCAAATATTGATAAACGAATGAGAAAACCAAGCAAATATTCGATATATTAACAGTTTGATTAGGATGGAGATTATGTTGTGTTGCATAAACCTAATAAAGGCTTTTTACAGGGCACTGCAGTGTCAATGTATGATGGCGGGCACTGCAGGTTAATCTGTGACATGTCACCACACCTACCGTCTGGCAAACCTTTTTGTTCTTTGGTAGCTCCATAGCCAATCCCAGGTCTGACAGCCGACACTGTCCTTTGGCATCCAGAAGCACGTTCTCAGGCTTCATGTCCCGGTACACTATGTCCAAAGTGTGCAGGTGAAGAATCCCAGTGGTTATCTGGGCGGCGTAGTAAACAACACGCTCCATACACATACCCCGCTCCCCAAGCTCGTATATGTGGAAATGTAGGTCTCCTCCATTCATAAGGTCCATGACCAGGCACAGGTGGTTCTTGTTGTCGTAGGCGTAAGCTAGGTTCACAATGAAGAGGCTGTTGACCTGTTCCAGGATCCGCTTCTCTAGAAGGGCAAGCCTCTCGCAACCTTTCTTCTTCAAGCACCTCTTATCCAGCTTCTTGCAGGCGTACATCTGCCCTGTGTGTTTGACCTGCACTGCACACACCTGCAAGACAGAGGAACATTCAATGTTATAACTGTTACTGTGCCATCCTTAAATTTGTTTCTGATAATTTTACTGCGATTTTAAAAAGTAAGACAATGCAACTTTTAGTTAACAATGGCCATTCTGTATACATGTGATGTTCAACAATAAGATGCTGGGATTTGTTGAACTTACCTCACCAAAACCACCTTTTCCCAAAGTCCTAAACTCATAAAAGTATCTGTCATTGATTTTCTGCTTCTCGTACTCCTTCCACTGCAAGAACTTATAGAAATAAGGGCTATCCAGATACTCCACGAACGGTTTGTCCCTCAGCAAGTCTCTTGTGGCTTCTCGTAACTCGTCCAACATCTCCTCATCAAATTTTTGGATTGATAATACCTTGCATATTCCAGCTGCCTCTCCTGTAAAGTATGAGACAAAACTCCTGGACCCGGGCTGAAAAAACGTAGCAAGGATTCTCTGTTTGTCCTTCTCTCTGGCTTCTTTTTCAGCAAAGCTCCAGTCACTAAGCTCCTGCAGGAACTCAGTGGCGACCATGTACTGCGAGTTAGAGGCCAGGAGAAACTGCTGGAACAACTTTTTCCCAATGGGCTGTTGCTCACACAGTGACTCGTAATTCCTCCCCACTGAAGCCTGGAGATCAGAGGACATCCTTGGTTTGGGCAGCGAAAGAGATATCCACTGATCTCTGAGCTTATTGCGATTGATATTCTGAGCCTTCAGGTAGGTCGTGTTGGCCACCAAGTTTTCCAGTCCAGGCAGGGTATCCATTTTGGATTGTATGCTGTCACATAGCCTACATGATCAACTACACATGCAGCTCAATCATCTGCAGGTTCCAGGCACAACTAAGCACCTGAAGCACCTTCATGCTGAACATCCTCTACCGCTTGTGCCTATCCTCTTGTAGCATTAAAAGTAGCACTATTATTGGGGATTTGCCATCAGCTGAGTGTCTTTGCATGCGTATTTGTAGACGCCACTAAGAGAAAGCAACTTATCTGGTCTGAACTTAAGAGGCTTTAGGCCTATCTATTTTTAGGAGATACAAAGTAACTGTGTGCAGTAATTGGGCTGCCAGCATGACACGATGATGTGGCAGATCCTGACCGTAACACCTAATGAGTGATTTTAGCTTGTTATGAGATAAAGAAGCCACTGAGATGAGTATAATATGTGAAGTATGCTCACTTCTTCGCTTATTATAGGAGAAAGGCTGGGGGATTACGGATACTGAATTAGTCCTAATTAGTTAAGTAAGCAGCCTAAGATATTAATTTTCCTCACAGACTTTTAATGTAGCTCTCATGGGAGTGAAAGCTGTACAGCTCTGATGCTCAAAATAGCAAATCTTTTCAGCATCAGCAGCATGAAAGGTACACCTTTTTATTTTCCCTCCGCATTCAGCCACATCACTGGCACACAACGCAATTGAATTATGTACTCATCATCAAGATTTATTGTAGTCATTTTATGTTTAAGATAATTACAAATGACACTATTCTTTCTGTTTCTAACACACTACCGCCTACAGAGGATTTGGACAAAATAACATGAACACCTGCACACATGGTTAAATGGTTGGACATTCCAATTGCAAAGCTGAGGTTGTGTCAAATAATGCATTATATGGTCAGATCTACCTCTGCATGCATTCGTCTTATCAATAATTAAATCCACATCTCACAGATTTGGTATTATTTTATATTATGCACTTTAGGAAAGTAGTTATGTTTATTTTAGTGTTTATTGCATGATCAAGCGATTATGGCTGAGTACTGTATTTCTGTTGTATTAAAGCAATGTGTCAATACTAATTACAGCATTTAGTGAATAATTGATTGGTCAATCGTCAGAAAGATAATAAATATGCTTCCTTGTCTAACATTATAGGTAATCATATGTATTAGCAGAGGTTTTTAGGTACACCCCCTTGGGCTTTAGGAAATGGTTTTCATAAGTTTAATAGACTGAGACATTATATAATAAGTGGCAGAATATATAATAATGAAAATAATCATTAGTGGCAGCCATAATACTTTTTGTCAAATCACAATAAGGGTCCTTTATGTGGCATTTTGACAGAAGATGGGAGTACTTATTTTTCACTTCCTTGAATGATGGTTGTTTGAGGCAATGACCTTCCCCTCATTAGGCTCATGTCTAAGTGAATTATCCTGTTCAGTCTTCTTGACTAACAATGTTCCATGACGCTGCAACTGCAGAGGGAACACTGATATGTTCCGCATACGTGTGACTGCAGAAAATAAAACATTTTATCATGTTTGTTTATCATGTGTTTTTGCTAAAAAAAAATATTAGAAAAATAAATGTGTAAAATTCTGGCTGGACTTTACAACTGCTTTGTGTTTGTAGTGATGGAAGAGGTATTCATATATATTACTCAAGGAAAAAGTTTTTTTTAAAGCATGACAAAATATGTTACAAGTTGGCCATTCAAATACGTACTTATATAAATGCTATCACTTGAGGTAAATTGTGCTTGATCGAAGTAATGTGGTAACTGACTCCATTCAAAGTGTTACTTATTATATATCATTTGTATTGCTGATTCATCACCATCTAAGCAGAAAAGTACTTGACTGAATGTCCACGGGAGTTGAGCCTGACTGTAACAAGGCCAACCTCCTTATACATGTTTAACAAGTGTTAGTTAGCATGGCCGCCTTCCAGGTAGTTCACTCAGACTGCCAAGGTACTTATATCAATAAAGGGTTACTTAGGGATTGTAGAATCCATTCTTTAACTAGACATTAATGTTTGGGGAATGCTAAATCATTGTGAACTCCAAAGATAATGTTTAAGATATTCATACTTTTAAAGGCCGATTGTTTTATAGCATCGGAACATTTAAATCTAGGTCTGATGGGTCTATAGCTCCAGCACATCAGCTGAGTCTAATGTTTTTTTGTGACTGATCATTTGAATCATTCAAGAATATAAATATGTTTTCAATAAGAGGCAAACCATCTAAAATAATACATGCTTTCTAAAGACAAGCAGTGTTAAATTATCAATAATAATACATGTAAACTACCATTTACCATGTTTCCACTTGTTTATAGGAATTATTTACCAATCCTGAATTACTGGATGAACAAATACATGTTTACAGCTATACACAGTTCTTTTATTTTTTTAAAGTCACATGTTCAGGATGTGCTCGACACCACCACAGACACAGACAATAACATAAAACTAACATGTGACCAAACACTGAAACAAGGTTCATCCACCTCTTCATGATTCCTCCAGCCACATCCACCAATCAGTGATCAAAGAGTCTGCACCATTTTATTTTGTCCATCGTCCTCCTTAGACACTGGGACAACTGGAACATGCATTGATAGGTAGGAGGACAGTCGACAGGGTCAGTGGCTCTCTGCACAGGACGCTGCAGTGATCATTGTCAAGTCTCAAACCACTTTTAGGTTCTGCTGAAGATCCAGACCGCCTGGAATTATTTGCCAATTCTCTGAACCACCCAGTCCTGCTGGCAGAGGGGACAGCGATTGTTCTGCTTCACCCAAAGGGACATGCAACAGTTATGGAAGGAGTGGTTGCACTCTCCCCATACAACTGAGAGATGATGAAGATAGAAGAAATTGGGAAAGACAATGAATGAGTTAGTCGCACAGAATATAAAAGTACCACTTTTTTATTTATTTAATAGTGAATGGTGAAAACTAACTTCCTTTCAAAGTGCAGGTGCTTTGATTTGTGTTTTATCTCAATCTGTTCATAAAAAGGCACAATCTTTGGCATCTAGGTGATGCTTCAGTACAATCAAACAAGGGAACATGACACTAATTAATGGTATATAAATGGTGTATTAATATAGATACACTAGTCAATAAGAAAGCACATTAACTGCATTCCTGCGTAGACATAGTTTATTCATTTGCAATAACGCTAATACGCCAATAACTTAATTGAACTTGTACTGTTTATTTTTATTTTCTTATTAACATATTCAATTATTATAATTATAAATTACAATTATATTAACTTGTCAGCAAATGCTTTTGTAATGTGTGTGCATCATACATATAGATCTTGAGTTAAATATCTGTTGGCAATATGCCTACTGTTATTAACTATATAATGTGCGTCATACAAACAAAACAATGATAATATATGCAAATTCAGTGTAACGTCAATCATTGAAATGACATGAAACGACCAACACAACCCCTCTCTATGACCAGCTGCTTTAGTATGTTATTTTTGACAGCTCCGACCAACTAGCTAATGTTAGATTGTTGGATCGACCTGCCATCTATGGGTTTGTTTGGTGATTAAAACACAGCTGTAACATATTTTAAAGCCAATATAGTCTTACCAACACAGTCCTCTTGTTTGTTTTCCGCCTGGCATCGGAGACAAGCGTCTGAAAACAAAGAAAAACATGTTACAGAGACGCTGGTCCTGTTACTTCAGGCACTAATGCTGATATTAGCCACGTTAGCTCCACCAGCCCGGTTCGAGGCTAGGCTAGCCGAGCAACAGCGTCGGTTCCTCGTACTCACCCATCACTTGTACCCGGCAAATGGCACACGTATCACACTCAACGTCCCAGCTCCACATCGCTACAGCATTCCACTTCTTTAGGGAAAACATTTTGTCCCCTCCCGACTTAGAGCTTAAAGAAGTGTTGTGAGAGAGGACAATCGGCGGCTCGTCACCGTCATCCATCTCTGCTGCACAGTTAGCCAGGCTAGCTAAGCTAAACAAAATGGACGTAACAGTTATAAGCAATGCTAATGCTAGCTGGTCTTCTCTCCATAGAAACAAAAGATGGCGCTGTTCTTCCAGTGTGTGAATTACATGGATTTATTGACAGCTTCTATATAATAATAGATAGATATTTTGAATGTGTAGCCTTTTTTGTTCTATTCACACTGTTAGACATTATTATTATTTTCAGCCTACCTATTTACAGTAGCCTATCGTAACTTCAATATTACAGTGAATTTGCTTTACAGTAGCCCATGTTACATTGTTTAATAGTTGATGACTTAATGTTAATGTTTGGAAGTATGAAAGCCTACTGTAAACTTTTTACCATAGTCTCTCATACAACAAAGTATCATTTACTGTAATTCACATTAGCCTTATGCAAATTCAAACACAGGTTTACTGGATTTAATGGCTCTAATAATATGTGATCAAAAAGGTATCGCTCTGTGCAGTGTAAATAGCATGTATTAATGTTAAAAATAGCATTGACTAATTAACATTTTGTGTCTCATTAAATTACAGTAACCAATTATTGTTTTTTAATGCAGTTCATACAAAAAAAGGGAAAAAAAGCATTGTTAGTTTACAAAAATCCCATATGAACTCAGTTTATAAATAGTGATCATACTTAGAAGCTTGGCACAAATGTGTTTCCCACACACACACTTAGTTTCTTCTCATTTCAGTTAGTAAAAATGACAGAGAATGAGGGGAATTGTTTTTGTTTTAGTTTAACAACTAAAGGAGATGGAGATGTAAAGGTTATTAAAGTTTCTCGTCAGAAGCTTCTTTTGGCATTACAAGGATGACCGAGTGTCAATGCCATCTCTTTTATAATGCTACACTCAGTAGGGCTTCGACTAAACCACATTAAGACAACTGTTTATACAGTAATAAAGCTTCTCCAAGTATACAATGGTGATAACCTCCAATAACCTCTTCTGGCTTTGCATGCAACTTCTGTGTAAACCACTCTGGATTATTTACAACTAGTTGAATAGCTACTTACCATATTGGTAAAATCAAAGAGCGGTTTGAGCTTCTTGTAACATGAATAACTTAATGGCAAAGTGTGCATATTTCCGACTTCCAAATAAGCTTGATATTCAAACCCTCTGCTGGGACCAGTCTATGGCTGGGACTAGGACAGTAACAGTAGGTGGTCTCATGAATAATTTACTATGGCTCGGCTACAATGTTTTTGCTTGTCGAGCGCCACCCTGTGTATAAAAAGGGCACTGCAGCATCGACCCAAGAACCTTTTCATGCTACTACAACTATACTAGCCGTAGCCTATATCCTGAATTGTTTTGTATTTCATCGTACTAAATGCACATCATTTACTAATATACAATATACTGCAATGCATGCATGTAAATAATGTATTTATTATATGTGAATGGCTCATGCATAATAATACTCCAAAGTATTTATTGAACATAAAAGGCTTCAAGATTTGTAAAAATAAAAACATAAATTAGCATAGCTATAGAAAAGTATTTTTAAACAATAAACAGAAGCTTAAATGTTATTAAAATATCTGACAATTGACAAGCTTTTAACAAAGGCACCACTCCAGTTTACTTTAAACATATGTTAATATAACAATATCTGACTGTATTTAAGCAAATATAATCAATCCTTTTTTAATCAGTGATTAAAAACGGTAAGTGTCTTGCAGCATCCATTTATTCTAGATAAAAAGAGCTGTCATAACCATAAAAAGACAAAACCTCCCCCAGGACTGTGACAGAAAGTGAGCATGTAACAAGCAGTAACACCATGTTCTTGCCTTGTTTCCACTCCCTCACATCCCAGTCTTTGTACAGATGCCTGTAGAGAAAACTGGTGCTTTTGTCATCACTGTTTGAAAGTGTGTTGTTTTGATTTTTCCACAGCGAGGTAGGAAACCTCTCACAGTGATTAGAGTGGTGACATGTGGAGCAACATTTTTCCTTTAGCAGCACACCAGCACCACGACCACTTTGTTAACTTTCAATATGCACGCTCTCTAGTACAACAACAGTTTCACGCTCAATCCGTTTTACAGCATGCTACATTTGAAAGTATGGCTGTTCTACAGTGAAACAATGAGCACTGAGTGGATATGTGCTGGAGTAAAGAAGCATATGAGCTACCTCAAAGCCAACTACCAATAAAAGGAAGTTCTATTTTCATTGTTACCTTTACCGGTGCGTCCTTCATTCAAAAGTGATTTACTCTGAAGTATGCTATATTCTGGATAAGAAGCATCTTTATGCAGATTCTACTGGCCCTCCACTGTCTGTTCTGTCCACACTGACCCTATGTATGTCAGGCTCAAGTCATATTAGGCTTGCATAATAGGTTTGTGCTGGAAATGAGGGCTACTTCATGGGCATCAGTCAGCGATTCATTAGAGCACTGGACATTAGGCACCATGAACTTCAGATAACATTGAACTGGAGGTTGTTGGAGAGAAAAATAAGATATGTGGACATCTGTATGAACCGGCTACTTGCTATACTGTGCATAGCAGCTTCACTGTTCATTAGGTAGAGTTAGCAACACAGGTTAAGGTATAAGGATGGTTTTTGAGACAGTACATCACTTACTCTAACATTGCTTGAGAATTATGAATTTGAAAGAAAAAAGCTTAGACAGCACCATAGACTATAGGGTAAACATTACTCCAAGTAAATATACTACAGATTCTATGTGACATACCAAATAACCTTTGATATTAACTTCTTTATTAAATACTTTTATGACTTACTTTACTTTGATATTTTGTTATCACATACTATGCTATTTCCTTTATACACATCTACACATTTTAGGGCCACTGTGTGTTTAGCATATCCTGAATATGTGACATTTTGTTTTACACCACTATGACATTTTTTTATGACATAAGGGTTTTTGTCATTGCTACATTGTCTTTGTTTTGACATCCATTCACTTTTGCAAAAACGTGTAATACCCATTCAAAGAAATAAAGCATCACACATATGGAGTGATTAAAGAGAAAGGCAGTAATGGAGGGAATACATTTATAGAGACAACGTTTTCCTTTGTTCTTTTTTTTTTTTAACAAGCCTGATTTAAGAAGAAAGAAAATCAAGATTGTCAATTTCCAGATTTCACTGAAAAAGCATTTTTCAAATTGATTTATTATTTCTGGACAATGAGAAATAGCATTCATTCAGAATGTTAAAACCGAGTCCCTTTGACAGAAAGTGTATAATTCCATTAACAATAATTGTCCAGTCTAGTGCAGGTGCATTCATTAAATATTACATTCTGAAGCGTTATTAGCTCAAAAGAGTGCCGCCATTTTTATAAAGACCTCAGAAAAGCTAATCTATCAGTAAACAGGTATACATTGGAATGTCTTTAATGTGCTACAAAGTTTATTTTCCTATCAAGTTCAGCATATCGTAAATACAATTAAATCAGATGAGCGAGGCTCTGGATTACATTGCCCTGCAATTAGGCACAAATAATCTCATTAGACCTTGCACATATGAAGGGAACCCCTAAAACAGACATTAGGGGCTATAGAAAAGGGAATCGAGCTTCCCATGAAGGCACACACTGCTGTAGCTCGTGTTCTCTCTATGCTTTCTTTCTTTCTGTCCAGAGCGTTACAGGCACACACAGGGCTCTCTTTTCCCAACAGTCTTGTTCTCTTTTATACCTCAAAGAGAGAAAGAGATGAGAAGAGAAGGATCAGCAGGAGGATAAAACCCCCCCACACTTTCTCTACTTTCTGAGGGCTTTGCAGGGATGATACAATATATTGAGATGAGGCTGTAGACAGGTTAAGAATCCCTCTAAATAAAAGAAATGTCTCTTAAAATCCCAGTGCATCTTATTTACTTGTTTACAAATTGGTCAAATTGAGAAAGGGTTGTGTGCTGCAGGGCTGTGCAAAAAACAAATAAATGAAGGAAGACTACACGGCAAAGAGTTGTAGCTCTGCAGAATGGAGAAGAGTTTTATGTCCTTATATCCTACATTTCCAAGAATCACACGTCCAGCTTTCCATTTGTCCAGTTGGTTTAATGATAGCTAGACTGCTGCAGTAGGGCTATAGAGAAGTTGATCTACAGTCTGTTGTGCCTCTGTACTGCTGCAGAATCAGTAGATAGAGGAAGGCATATTAGATGGGAAGCTGATCCCGGGCCAGCACTGATAAAACACAAGGGGGCCATTTTAAGCTTTGTCTCTCTTCACGCATTAAAACAAGGCTTATTGCTGTTCTGCCGTTTAGTACTTCATACTCAATCCTCCTTGTTCTCTGGGAGCAGCAGTGCCACGATTCAGTGTTCTTCGTGGATCATCTGAGGAAGTTCTCCAGGTTCAAAAAGCTCACAGATTGTCCTTGCGGGCGTGGCAGCCTTCACACACTCTGACCGGGTGGTCCCAGCCTCGGGAGGGCACGGGCTTGATGTGTGTGGAGCAGGGGCCGCACACACCCTGCCCACAGGCCCTGCAGTGGTGCTTGGATATTGTCGGAGTAAAGGGTTTGGAGCACTGGTGGCACTGGGTGATGTCCGCATCTGGCACCCAGTAGTCCGGCCGAGCCACATCTTTCATAAAACCTAAGGGGAGTGGATGGAACAATACATATTTAATTTAAGATTTTGATAATGGCATAAATATCCATATTTGAACAGACAACTCGTGAAAACTGCCTACTGTTATATACACTAGGGCTGATACATTACTCATGGAGCTTGAATAATGTTTATGTAGTGAATGTCCACCTGCTATCAAATAACTTATGATGTATGGACAGCCTCTAGACCAGTGGTTCTCAACTGGTCAGGCCTCGGGAGCCACTTAATAAATAAATAAATCGCGACCCAACATTTTGAACCACTCAAATCTACAAGAAATCGTGCTGTAATATATACGCTTTTCAGCATACAATATTAATTAAAGTGAAGTACAGTGCATATATCCCTTATATCCCTGGGAGGGGATTCTCAGCGATTTTTTTGAAATACTAACATAAAAAAAAAAGAAATACGCATTCTGGTACACTCTGAGAAGAAAATAAATAAATACTATTACTATATTAATAATATTTTATTCCATTGTTTGTTTTTTACTTTGTTCTGACATCTGAACTTGCTGCTCCTCACAGAGAGAAGAGCAAAGAGGAGAGAGTCTGTGTGAATTACTTTAAATTGTGGGTAAGGGTAGATAGCTCCCGTTGTTCTGTGACCTGTCAATCAAACCGGGGGTCATATTTCATTATGTGTTCATTTTTATCTGAAGTTGTACCCATGGATGTTTAAAGAATATTTCTACCGCAGACTTATTCTCCGTGAGGACTTCCGGCAACAATCTTGATTCTGATTGGCCAGAAGACTCGAAAAAACATCAGCAAATATGTTTTATTGAGAAGATGATCACTACGTGACAAAAGTTTTCCAAACCGTTTATGTTCTCTGGTACTTCCAGTCCAACGCCTACTGCATGCACAGCATTAGAAAATTGGGCCTTCAAAATAAAAGTTTGACTTTTTTCCTAAAAATAAATAAATTGAAAGACATTTATTTTATTTTTTTATCCTCACTCACACATCTGCGACCCACTCGAAAAGGGTCCGCGGCCCACTTTTGCGTCGGGACCCACCAGTTGAGAACCACTGTTCTAGACCATCATATTTGTATTTACGCAAAATATTCATTGCAAGGACCAGGGCCCAGTAGTTATACATTCAGCTCTTTCTTTCCAGAATTGGGATACTTAAGTTGCCAGTCCTTAAATATATTGCAATTTACTTCCATATTCATCTATCCAACATTATTTAATTTCAATGTATTTATCGATTGTTTTTCATTTTAGTTGTGAAATGCAGCTGCACTCACAGATCGGGTAGTCCACAGCTGTGGTGACCATGTCCAGTGTAGACTGCGCCACCTCCGTCACCCTGCGAGCGATCAGACCACGAGGCTCCACCTTACACACTGAAGGAAAGACATGTATGAACAGTACACAAAAGTAGCAATAACAATATTTATGAAAGCAGCTAGCACATATACAAAGCATATCTTTAATAATACATTCTAAAAAGTACATTTTATTATATAAGGTGAATGTAATGTACTTTTTATGGAAAATCCTGAACAAATATCCATTTCAAGAGTCAAGGTATGACAACAAATATATACATTTTTAAGAAATAATCTTTGTGAAAAGCTTATTTTTATCGGAATTGCTTGAATTTTTGTTTTGAATCCCTTTAATAATCATATTTAATATCCATATTTAATAATAAAACACATTGTGATTATGTGACTTCATCTGCTATATGCTGTCAGCAAATCAATTAAACACAGCTTACAAATAAAGGTGAAGTTAACCTCCATGACTCCAAAGATGCTGGTAAACTAAATGCTGAGTCAGGATCATTGTCTTACCCTGGCTGTTGGTGTCAGCCGGCCCTCCCTGCTGGTAGCACTTCTTACAGACCCGGACCGGCCCACTGCCCCAGCCCCTCTCCGGCACCGGCATCCTCTGGCTGGAGCAGGGATGGCAGAAACCCTCGCCACACGATCGGCAGTGGTGCTTCCTCTCCGCCTCCTCAAACACCTTCCTGCAGCCATGACACGCCTGAGGGGCAGAGGAGGATTCAATGAGGACAGACATTTGCAGGGATATAATGAAAAATAAACAATTTCTTCTTTCTCCTAATCCGTCATAAAGGAAAGATTTCAAAGCACCTCAACTTTTTTCGTACAACTTTATCCCTTGTTATATGAATTGTTATTCAGTGTGTGTCTCATCTCTAGCTGTTCACACTCACAGTGATCTCTGTGTTGGGTCTCCAGTACGGGGGGGCCACCTGGTCAGTGACCCAGGCTGCCACAGCTTTGGTGGGCCCGGTGCTGTACTCTGACACTGACTGGATCACGTAGTTCATCCCGTCCAGGACCCTCTGGGCAGCGTTCTGGTGGGTCGTCAGAAAAGTGTCCGACTGAAAGAAGAGAGGGATAAATGAAGGTGGAGAAAAGAAGATTGATCGGAAAAGGTCGGTGAATGATGACGGTACCAATATATATTCATCCCTACTGAAACAATGATAAGGGCTTCAAATGTATCACTTACAGGATCTTTTTTTGAGCAGAAACAGCAAACTTCATGCAAGGTGTTGCCATTATAATGTTGTTATAATAGCAAATGTTATATGTAATTTAAATAAAGTGTATTGATCGCCCAAGACTATCAAATATCATGTGATTAAGTTTCTTAATGTTGTGGTCTGGCCTTGGTGAATGGTGAGCATTAATGATCCCATCTATCAAATGCCTAATCAATAATCTGCAGTTCATTTGTATTGAAACGGAGTATAAGTGGAGCAAAAGAAGAAAGCTGGAGTGCTCACCCCCTCCCAGACGTGCTTGACCTCCGACCGCACCACGCCGCTCTCAGGGTCCTGGTTCCCCACCCAGTACTGTCTGCTGCGGTAGATTACACCACAGCTAGCACACTCCAACACATAGCTAACGGGAGGCAGGGAGATACAATGAGATAATTGCAAAAGAGGCAATACAAATGCTGTGCGTGTGTGTGTGTGTGTGTGTGTGTGTGTGTGTGTGTGTGTGTGTGTGTGTGTGTGTGTGTGTGTGTGTGTGTGTGTGTGTGTCTATTTACGTACCCTGACCACGCATACTTGGCCAATCCAAACCATGGGTTATCAGAGGAAGCTGACGTCTTGGGCAAAACAATCACCTCTCTGCCTCCCTCATAACACTTCTGGAGACATAAGACAATCAAAAACTGAAATGAATATAGAAGACATATAAACAGGTATGAACAGATAGGATCAAAAATGATTTGAAAAAAGGGGCCTGGAATTTGGCGCAGCATGCAACATCCAGTACAAAATCCAAATAGCTGACATAGAGAACTAGGTCCCAGTTGGTGCCTGGTCAGTCTTACCTTGCAGATAAGAACTTTGTTGTTGTACTGGTGAACATACTGGCACAGTCCATCTGCCAAGTGGGGGACCCGGTCTCTCAGATGGTTCATTCCATTTTTACAGCGAATGCTAGAGAGGAACAGAAAACCAATAGTTTCAGAACAACATGAAAGACATCAACAGTGCAAACAGGTTTGAGGAAGTCCAATAGTCCAGAACTGAAACCTCATATTTCACACTCAACTTTCCATAAAGAAGGAAACACAAAGAGTAGGGGACTCTCAATCACTCTTTCTCTCTCTTCCAAAAAAGATGGGAAAGACATTACATGTAATGTGTAACAGATTTCTGCTTTTAGGGAAAACATTCAAATTCTGTGAATAAGCCAGCAGCACCTGACACACTTCTGTTTGTGTGTCTGTTTATTTTTCCATCTGGTAATAAGAGCCTTAAACCGGCTGTGTGGAAATACTGAGGAAGATGTGTGTTTTCTAATTCCTTTCAAAAGATTTGGAACTGATAACTACGTGGAAATACTCGGAATTATACAATTTGTCTGATATCGTTTTTTGCAGAAAAAAGTTAAATTTACTGATTAAAATCGATTTTGTTTTACCAGTACGAAAACATTGGAACAATTCTGTTGAACTGAAAAGTGTATGTGGTGGGATGATGCAAAGGATCGATGCTCAGATGTCTGAAACCAAACATAAGGGCCAGACTTCATCAATAACAGAGGGTAAGCAAGCTGATACAGCCATCCCTTCCATTCTTAAATATCTATAATAATGCTTGATAAAAGGTCACAGAATTTGCAAAATAACTACACACTGAACAAAGTAAAAGAAGTGATGCCAACTTTACATTTGCTCAGGTTTAGAACATTAGCTCAAAGACTTCACTTAGACCAGGCTTTGAGTCAAAATACTTCCCAGAATTAGTTTGAGTCAAATGTTCCGGCGCAGTTTAATCTCTTGAAATGTTTGTTGATGACTCACTTGCAGCTGAGGCAGACAGCAGAGCATGTAAAGTACTCATCTGGGAAGAAGGAGTACGGGATCATCTTGTCGTCCGGCAGTTCTCCACAGAAACGCTCACTCAGGGCCTAAGGAAAAGCAACAAAAAAAAGGTGAAAAGGGACAGGAGAGAGGAATTATGGAAGCAAAATAAGATAAGAGTCACGACTAGGAGACAACATATCTTTATTAAATGTCTATACATCTAACTTTAAGTTAACAACAAAGGTAATGGTCCACCGCTTACCTCCAGAGCGTGAAACATTATCCCGGGCTGACGGGGGGAGCGTGTGTGAGTGTTCTTCACTTGCTGCTTGACGGCCTCCAGCAGCCCGCTGTAGTCAGTGGGGGGTGTGATGGTCTGGGTGCCAACATACTGCACGGAGCTGAAGGCCTCCGTACCCAGGCCCAGTTCGTGAAAACGCTTCTGGAGCAGCGTGTCGGCATGGCCGGATGACTTAGCATCTGCAGCAGAAACAATGAGGCATAAATACTGAGAGTCTTTCTTATATAATTGCTAAGAAGTTAATTGCAATCCTCTGGATGAGGCTGCAGCCCCCCCACAGTGACACAATGGGGGGATAACGTTAAGATGTTACATGGAAAACTTAACCGCACGATAACAAATTAACAACAGATGCATTCCCGACTAAATAGTACCCAATTATTTTCTTTACCAGGGAGATGTGTTTAGTCGTGTGTGTGTGTGTGTGTGTGTGTGTGTGTGTGTGTGTGTGTGTGTGTGTGTGTGTGTGTGTGTGTGTGTGTGTGTGTGTGTGTGTGTGTGTGAGTGCCTAAAAAAAGACAATTCAATATACAGCCATTTGCAAAGCAGCTCTCACAAAGTGACCATGTGACCGACGCTCTGCTGATTGATGAGTCCTCCAGCGTGCAATCAAGTGAGAAAATAAATGAGAAGCATGGAGTAGGAGGGATGATTTAGGAGGATAATACGGAGGTAACTTTAGCAACTTTGTGAATGGCTGTGATTATAATACAATGTGTGTGAAGATGGCGTGTGATTGCTCAGGTAGGGGGGTGGGACTGCTCAGGTATGGTGAAGCTGGAGGGCTCGAAAGGTGCAACAGTGATTCTGGAGAGTATAATTATCTTTATATAATCTCCAACTCACACAATAGGAGTGATTTCATTGAGACGAGCAGCGTTGAAGTCATTGAAACTGATTTTTGAACAATATGTGGCTGTCCTGAATGCAGTATTTAGTCGTGGGAAAGAGAGTGGATTGCACTTGAGAAACTTGTTTTCAGTTTTGATAACAGCAAGACTTTTCATAAAGATAGCATCGAAGGGGTCAGGGGGAAAACTTTGGTGGCGCATTCGAATTCCACTTCTCCTTTCTTTACACGGAACGTTTTATGACATTATATTAAACATGCATTGAATTATTGTAAACTTTGAATGTATTTAAGGCCACATCATCTGTAAATAGCAATTCATATCCCAAACTACGCCTAGGTCGGACACATCCAAACTTGTCTTTTTTGACACCTTCCCTGTAAGGTCGATCAAGACATTCAACTTGTCTTGTTTGACACCTTCCCTGTAAGGTCGATCAAGACATTCAACTTGTCTTGTTTGATTGTGTTTAATGGCAGCCACATTTCACCGCTGTGGCTGCACAGTATCATGTTAAGAAAACTCATGAATTAAGATGAAAAGTTGGAGGGGAGAAAAACTCNGTAAGGTCGATCAAGACATTCAACTTGTCTAGTTTGACACCTTCCCTGTAAGGTCGATCAAGACATTCAACTTGTCTTGTTTGACACCTTCCCTGTAAGGTCGATCAAGACATTCAACTTGTCTTGTTTGACACCTTCCCTGTAAGGTCGATCAAGACATTCAACTTGTCTTGTTTAATTGTGTTTAATGGCAGCCACATTTCACCGCTGAGGCTGCACAGTATCATGTTAAGAAAACTCATGAATTAAGATGAAAAGTTGGAGGGGAGAGAAACTCCAGTTCTTCCTTGTGGGAGATTATGGTGAGAACCTCATCTTTGAGTAATTCCACTCAAAAGAACACTCACTTTATGGTGGTGCAAGACAAAATGGAAAATCAACACATTAGGATGCATCGTCCGGGGAAAATGATATTGGGCCAATCCATAAGATAGATGTGTAAGGGAGGCGTGTGGCGCAGTGGACTAGTGCGTTGATGTTGGGATCAGGGGTCACAGGTTCAAACCCCACGGCAGTCAGCATGTCGTTGTGAGACACTTCACCCCAAATGGCTCCTGTGGGGATTGTCCACAGTATTGAGTATGTCAAAGCGTCTAACAAGTGACATGTAATGTAAGTATTTGATGGAGAAGTGAGAACTTTGACATTAAGGTGGTGTGGGTATCACAGAAGTGACTATAGGCATCATCCTCTGGACATGAACAGCTGTGCTAAATCTCATAGCAATACATTCAAAAGTTGTTGAGATATTTAAGTCTGGACCAAAATGGTGGACTGATAAACCCACAGAAAGACAAAGAATCAATCTTCAAGCCTGACAATGGAGGAAAGGCCTGGTACACATTATGTATGCAAATTAAAACCAGAGATGAGGCATTCAAATGAAATCAAAGCATCAGGAAGGTGGTTTTAAAGAAAAAAAGTAATTTATTTCATCTAAACTTTTCCATCAAAGCCTCTTCTGTGTCTCCCCCCCCCGGTGCCATATTTAATACCCATATAACGATGGACCAGATAATGTCTCAAGTATAATTGTTCAATCAGGAGGGGTAGAAACATGCGGGGCCATTGTCTGTCTGCCTTTTGTCGTTAGTTAAAAGGTGGATAAATAAGATGCAATTTAGAGACTTTTAAGAGATGATTTTTCCCCTCCTGCCTTAATCACAGGGAAATTACCTCTGGGTGAGGGCTGTCATTAAAATAGAAGAGGCACTTGCTTCTTGGAAGCTCAAGGCGAGCGCTAATAGCACAGTGCCATGATGGCGCTAACACTTTGAACAGGTCCTGTATTATCCTGCTGTGCATGGAGTCGCGTCTGCACCACCTACTCACAGAGCAACTCTTATGATGGGCTATTAAAGATGTCTCCGAAAGATGCAGAGACATTTTCAAACGTTATACATTTGCGGCTGTATACAGTGCATAAGAGGTTGCTTAATAGTATGTGTTCCTTTATTGACACGTTATTATTTAACAATGAGAGCAACATCTTAAATCCAACTTCCATTTTGAAGGATTACAGCAATAAGGGTGGTCTAACGTGACTTGAAATGATCCACATCCTGTTGAAGAGACTGCAGGATGTTGTGCTGAAATGAGAGCACATGCTGCAGTGCTTGCAGGACTGATACATCCCTTCTATATAACATTCTGAATTGTCCTTGACTTTAAAACCTAAATGGTGCTGATAATACCAATCTCCAGTATAGCAGAAGGGTGCTGGTTCAACCTCAAAAACTAAATTCAAACAGCCATGAAAAGTAGTCTTTTTGAAGGACAGACACAAAATGAAAATTGTATAATTCTATCGTTCATTTTTGACTATTTTGGCAAAATGGCCACAGTGCTTTTAGGAGGCTTAACTCTCACTGCAGGAAATCAAATCACTAATCTGCTTTGTGTGTGTAACATGAAAGTTATGTAACATCTCAGTTCATCTTTCCTCTACATGCTCTTGTAAAAAAAGTGTTTATACATATATTTATATTTGGTGTAAGTATTTGTCTTTATTCACTTTAATGTTAAATCGTTTTTTTTAGGTAATTTTTTTCATTCTAATTGTTATGTTTTTAATCTTCTCTTACAACTTATTTCCTATTGCTGTGTTCATGTTCGCCCCACCATACTGTATACTAAAGCAAATCCCTTGTACGTGTAACCGTACCGTAATAAACTTGCAAATGCAAAATCTTTAAACTCGACACGATCAAATATGTTATCATTAAAAAACGTTTTAAAATGACAGCTAATAATATGACACATCCCCTGCAGTCCATGCTCTCTCTGCTGCAGCTCAGTAAATATTACCCAGCCTGCTTTGTGTGCTTTCCCTCGCAGAAGGCTGAGTGTTTCTCTCTGTACGTGCAGCCTTATTGCGGCTTCCTGTCTCAGAGGCCCAGGTTTGGCCCGGGGTTCGGTCCCTCAGGGTGGCTCTGGGCTAAAAGGACCCCGCCGGCAGGCAAGAAGTGACGCGGGCAACAAGCTCCAGATGTTGGGCTGCATTAGGGTCTGACAGCCTGTCATGTCACCGCCTACACAACCACACAGTCCCATCAGCTCCCATCTGCTGCCCCACACCTCCTCAGAGACCAGGAGACTACTCTTCACCCCAAATATAAAAGACAATACATCCCATCACTACCAGGGTGGCCAGGCTTGTTATGTTCCTATTTGAGGATATGTGAACTCTACACTACAATGCACACCATATGACAAGGACTGTCTCCATCTACAGGCAACATGAACATCTCCTACAACACAGCGCACATAATCCTGTCACGTTACTGAGGAAAGGAGATTGTACATACCATTAAAAAGGTAGGTCATTGAGCTCATTAAGAAAAGACTAAATGTAGAGTAGAAGTGATGATTGACAGAAAACGAATATATCATGATCTAACAATTAATCAATTTACTGTCTCTCTTCTTATTTGAAATGCGTGTCAGCATCTCGTGGTTTTGCTATATTGAACACTATCTGTTCCATATTATTGTTAAGTGAGTATATTTCATTTGGGAATTTTTGTCCAATAAAATAAGCAATTTGAAGATGTCAACGTATCGGCATCAGTTCGTCAAGACCTAACAAAGGAATTGAGAAAATAATCAGCATGTTCATTGATAATGAGAATAAGTTGGTGGTTGTCCTAACATATATGGTAAAGCAAGATCTCCAACTGCCTTAGATATGACAAGAAAGAGAGGTCAGTGTTCATTTAATTCTACACGTCTGAAAACTATTTTTTTAAATGTAAAATAGTAAACATTTCAAAATGTCAATGGAGAGATTTGAGATGAATACCAGCTAATTAAACTCAGACTGCCTTATTAGCATTATTCATGTAAGATATTCATGTGGTAAATGATTTGCATGATGATGAACTGGTTGAAGTCATTCTGCGATTAACCCAAAAGAAAATAGCTGGTTGTTTGGCTCCCCCTGCTGGAGATACAGAGCATCAACATGTACAGCAGTTTTATCCTCAATGAAGTTTCTCTTTTTGTGACTAAATGTTGATATTATACGTGTATGAAAAGAAATGTATATTAATGTATTTATACCAAAGTCAGAATGTATGCCTTCGTCACAATCTAGACAGCAGTTATATGCTCTCCTCTGAAAGACTGTTAATGTTTATGTTTATTCAGGATCCCCAGTAGCTTTTGCTCTTGACAAAAGCTACTCTTCCTGGTCCGACACTTAAAACAATAGAACAATAAAACAACAACATTCAAGACATAAGTCCTGACATCATTAACAACATCACCAATATCATCAACAATCTCCA